TTTCACTTTAAAGATTATAGCTTTATCTAGGGGTCTTACTTGTATCGAATTTGCTTAGTTTCAGACATAATTTGACTTTTGCTCGTTTGTAAAAAGTGATGTGCATGATGAAATAGCAGTCTTGGTAAAGCAAGTGGTCAGAATAGCACCCGCTGCACAGCTCCGATGTGCTCAAAACAATTTCTTTTGGCACACTGACTTATAAAGTTCGGTAATCTCTGTACCTATGCCTATTATAGTGGCTAGATATTGTCATTATAATACGTGCAATCTTACGCTATCATCTGTTGATGTGTTGTAGGACAGGGGTAGAATTCTCGAGTCTCACATGAAAATTGTCGCACACGGCAAATGTCGTATATCAAATTCGTATGGTTGTTAAAAATACATATTTAGGGGTGCGTTTAAACCTATGATGCCGGGGTTTTAAAAAACTAAAATTTTCAGTGAATGTAGTCGTGATGTAGGTACCTGATTAAATCCCACTTTGTTAGAATGTGGCACAAATCGCGGTTTCCTCACAAAAAAAAAATCTTTTAGGGGTGCGTTTTAACCTATGACGCCGGAGTTTTAGAATACCGTTATTTTTAGGAAAAGTAGTCGTCAAGTAGCAGATTAAATCCCTAATAACCAGATTGTTTAAACCTATGACGCCGAAGTTTTAGAAAACTGACATTTTCAATAAATGTAGTGGTGAAGTACTTGATTAAATCCCACTTAGTCAGAATGTGGCACAAATCGCCGTTGCCTCATAAAAAAATAATAATCTGTTAGGGGTGCTTTTTAACCTATGACGCCGGGGTTTTAGAAAACCACAGTAGTAGTATTCTCGAATGTTGAATACCTCGATTCGCATGCAAGATTAGTCCAATAACGAATAGCAACTAAGTGATTTTAAAAAACTGTATCCTCGAAAACAGGATACGAGAAATGTCAGGTGAATTCAACACGAGTGGTCTAAAGTGCTCGAATATAAATTCGTATGCGACTTTAGGGACCGTAAATATGGATGAGGCAGATTTTGATAAAATTAACATTTGGTGGCTGTCAAAACATTATTAAAGAGTGACAGTATAGAAGGAAGAAGTTTATTTATAAAAATCCATTTGAAATTGACAATGTGTTATAGTGTTATTTATCAAGCATTTTCGACTTTTTAAGCATGTTATAAGTGTTATAACACATCGATAATTCCAAATGGATTTTTATAAATAAACTTCTTCCTTCTATGCTGTCACTTTTCAATAATGTTTTGATTTTCAACAGCCACCAAATCTTAATTTTATCAAAATATGCCTCTTCCATATTTACGGTTCTTAAAGGTATTATTTCGATAGGCGCGACAGACGACCGCCGACGCGACAGATGACCGCCGACGCGACCGAGAAGTGTCTCTTCACATCTAATATACATACAATTATATAAAACACATTTCGCACGGCGCGACACGAGAAGTGTCTTCAAGACGACACTTCTTGACACTTCTGAATCTGTCTCGGGGCAAAGGTTTACTGCGTGTCGCACTCGAGGCCACTGTCCTCAGGCATCGCTTCTTTTTGGAGGTGATTAGGTTGGAAATTTCTTTCGATGTGGGCAGTGTAGCCAGATTTTGGAACAGTAGGTATGGGTGAAAAAAAAACGTAGATCTGAACAGTAGATTTAATACAGGGGGAAATAATTAGAATTGGCAGTGTAGTAAATAAAAAAACAAGTATACAAGAAACGAAAAATAAACTTTTTTTCTACCCAAATTAGAAGGTAAACAAAGAATAAAATCAAATAATACCATTTTTAATATATACTTAACGTACGGAAACAAAAAAAAAAACAATGAAAAATAATAGGTACCTACTTCTTTAAGATCAGTCTAAATCAGGTAATTCAAAATCGTAGTGTTTGGCATATGCATGTTCTTTTTATGATGCCCTATTAATTCTTTGTTTCATTTTAAATAAAAACAATGATTATCTTGATGTTTTTTTTTATGGAGTCAACCTGCAGTAGTCGATGACTTATTACGCTGCTTTTACTGCAGAAAATTTACTAGAGAAAATATTCTTTAGCCATTTGCTGAAGAATAAGGCAAACTTAATAAATTAAGAACAAAATTTGCTAGAGACAAAAACAGTGGATCTACGTAAAAACAGTAGATCTGGCAACGCTAATCGTTCCCTCGAATGGTTATCCTGTAAGTGTCTCGCGACCCGTCTCCAAGCTTCCGAAATGTACGGAGCGTAACATTTATGCATCTGTCGTCCTCGGTGGTCTCCTGTCTCCTAACGCGCCTACCGAAATGGTACCTTTAAGTCGCATACGAATTTAAATTCAAGCACTTTAGACCACTCGTGTTGAATTCACCTGACATTTGTCGTATCCTGTTTTCGAGGATACACTTTTTTAAAATCACCTAGTTGCTATTCGACATTTGACTAATCTTGCATGCGAGTCGAGGTATTCGACATTCGAGAATACTACCCCTGGGGTTTTCTAAAACCCGGCGTCATAGGTTAAAAAGCACCCCTAAAATATTATTTTTTTATGAGGAAACGGCAATTTGTGTTACATTCTGACTAAGTGGGATTTAATCAAGTACTTCACCACTACATTCACTGAAAATTTCAGTTTTCTAAAACCTCGGTGTCATAGGTTTAAACGCACCCCTAAATACGTATTATTTTTTTACGAGAACATTATGCGTTTTGCCATATTCTGGTTATTTGGGATTTATTCTGCTACTTGACGACTACTTTTCTTAAAAATAGCGGTATTCTAAAACCCCGGCGTAATAGGTTAAAACGCACCCCTAAAAGATTATTTTTTTTATGAGGAGACAGCGATTTGTGCCACATTATGACTAATTGGGATTTAATTAAGTACTTCACGACCACATTCACTGAAAATTTCAGTTTTCTAAAACCCCGGCGTCATAGGTTTAAACGCACCCCTAAATATGTATTATTTTTTTACGAGAAAGTTATGCGTTGTGCCATATTCTGGTTATTTGGGATTTTTTCTGCTACTTGAAGACTACTTTTCTTAAAAATAGTGGTATTCTAAAACCCCGGCGTCATAGGTTAAAACGCACCCCTAAAAGATTATTTTTTTTTATTAGAAAACAGCGACTTGTGCCACATTCTGACTAAGTGGGATTTAATAAGGTACTTCACGACTACATTCACTGAAAATTTCAGTTTTCTAAAACCCCGGCGTCATAGGTTTAAACGCACCCCTAAATATATATTTTTAACAACCATACGAAGTTGACATACGACATTTGCCGTGTGTGAGACTCGAGAATTCTACCCCTGGTCTTAAAACTTGTCTACTAATCTACGGTTGAAAATCAAAAACTATTTATAATAAACCTAATTACTTTTCTCTGATGATATTTTAAGGAAAATTATTTAAAATGAATTAACAGTACTTGAACTTAAAGGTTTTATTAATTTTTTTGACAGAATAAAACATGAACATATTTTAATACATTGATTTGTCAGCAGCCGCTATCTTCAAGAAAGGGATCAATATTTTATAGGGTTTCTCCAGGGCTCTGCTTTGGGACCTACCTTATTCAACAACTACACTTTTGAATTTACAAGTTATTAAGGTATTCCAGAAAAAAATTTTTAGAGACGACAGTTTACTTTATTTTTACTTACACTGAAAATAGAAATCACCAATTATTAGCGGACACTGCACAAAAAGGTTGTCTTAGTTTAAACCCATTGAAATCCCAAGTACTCTTATTTGATAGAAAAAGTCTGCGAAATCGAACTGTGGGCTCACTTATCTTAAATATAAATGATACACTTATACCTTCAGGTAAAAGTGCTAAACATCTTGGTTTAATTCTCGACACCTCTTTGTATTATGACCATTATATTAACTTTATTATTAAAAGAGCATACTGCAACTTAAAATTAATTTATGGAAACAGAAAAATGTCAAATTACCTTTAGTGGCATTGTCCCATTAAAATTTTGTCGATTAGTTAATAGCACAGTAGTACTAAAATGTGATCAGCACAAAACTATAAGTTCTGGTTTAAAACGACTTGACCATATTTCTAAAGATTTAGTTGAGTTGTATTTTTTCTCTCTCTATTATATTATTATATCTACCTCATTAACATCTTCTCATATACCCTATTCATTTTTATTGATTAAGTCAAAAAAATTAAGTGGAAAAAAAGCTTACTCTTACTTAAAAGGACTATACCTAACTCTGTCTTTCTGCCTTTTAATAAACATTTTATTGAATTTCTTTGTAATCTGATTTTATGTATCTTTTTTAAAAATAGAACAGATCCCAGAACGTTTTCAGATTTTTTGACATTCAAGGAACTAGTTGATCTGTCCTCGTATATAAGACAAGAAAACTTCCTTTAAAAGCTTGAGCAGTGCTTTTCGTAGCTCAAAGAGCGCGCAGCATCCTCTAAACGGAACGATATAAATGCGTTGTAGCTAAGTCATTAACTCCTTTCGGCACCTCTATAGAATGAACTTCTGAAAACTCAATTAAAAGATTAAGTTTCTTCGGAAGTCGCATTATACGATAAAATCGGATTATATCCTAGATTTCAACCTCAAATAGAAATGAGGCGAATATTAGAAAACAACGGTTAACAACCAGATTATGTTTTCGTGTTGGTCGATTTTGCAGTTGAAAATTTCTACAAGCTAGAAATGGCTTTGCTCTTATTATAGAGCTGCAAGAAGTTAATAGTCCAGATGGCATCTCGAAAACTCATGAATATTTCTGGTATCTGTTTTTTAATCAGTAGAAAATGTGGTACCACAGTGTCACTTTTTGTCGCAATTGCTTTAAAATACAACACTTTTTTTAAAATAGTAATCATATAAAAATAGTACGATATTTAAATATATTATTCTAAAATATAATGCAATAAACAATAATGGTAAAATTCGGTTTAGAACAATTATTACTATATAATAGTTTCTCAATAATTTAATAAAAACACGTTTTATTTTTTGTTTCAGAAAACAACTGGGATGATATCAACAATAGTACAAATTACATTCTGTCGCCTGCTTTTGATGATATATTTACCAGAGAAATTCATGCATCACTGGGACAAACATTACTTCTTCCATGTACAGTTAGAAATTTAGGAAATAAAGTGGTGAGTATGAAACGTTTTCTTCAATTTAATACTACTAAAGTAAGCATTTATGCGGTAAAATATAACTAGTCCAATGAGATGTCTTTTTACCAACACCTCGTCAAAATTTACGCAGATACGGAATTTTTAACACATGATATCTGCCCTACTTCGAAAGAAAGCCGCATGTCGAGATTTTGAGTAAATTGAGTTAATTTATATTTGAATACTATGAGGTCTTATTTTCTAGAAAAAATCTAAATTATCTTTAAATAATATCAAAAAAAGTTATTTTAAAAATTATCTGATTGGTGTAGAACTGTTTTTTTCTGCCTAATTTACTAGTAAAAAATGCCGCATGTATCAAAATAGAGCCGCATGTAGACTTTGTCGGTCAGTAATGCAAGTTATAAACGCCGTATGTAGACACATGCGGCTTTATTTACTAGTATATTTCAATTTCTGGTATACTCATATTGTACATCCGGGTTTCTTTTTTAGTAGTCTTGTGAATTTTCGTCAGTATATCAGTACTAAATGCCGTATGTTATTACATACGGCACTCTTCTCTTGTGTCCATAAAGACCTGCGCGAACCGTTACAACAAAACTATCACAACACAAATTTACTGTCAGTTGAATATTTAGTCTTTCGAAGTGGCGTGTTGTATTTTTTTAGAGATTAGTTTAACGTATTAAAAATATTTCTTTAATAATAAAGGTAAGTTATTTTTTCTTTTTAAGTAATATTGATAGCAACATGATTAATGATTGTATGAAAATTATGTTATAGAGAAACAAAGATGTTAGTGACATTGAATTTTGAATTTCCATTTTTTTGTTATAGATAAAATGAACCGAGGAAAAAAAATTGCAATGTTAGCGACAAAATAAACATCGCCATTAATTTTCAATGAGAGAAATCAGCAACATGAAACTAGTTTAAGAAAACGCCAGTCTCAAAAGCACCCTCCTGATGAAATTGAAAATTTAAGGCCAAGTAAAGATTTAAAAGTTAAAAGAAGCGGCACGAATATCTGCGCAGCTTAAGAAATATTATAATTAATTATAGATAGTACTTTTACAACAATTGAAAACCATGAAGCTATTTCTGTGGATTCATCTTTTGATATTGAAAATTTGATAATGACTGATGAAAATAATGTTCCTATTCTTACAAACAGTTTTATTGAAGAACATTTAATCAGTTTCACAAGTGAAGTTGCAGAAAATGTTAGTTAAGAAATTATTAAGACAAATAACATCACCAAACAGATCGTTATGAAAGAAATTGAATCCTTGCACGTACAGAATTTGACACAAATACGGGAACTAAATAACCTCGACAACATTGGACATATCAATGAGGAATCTAAGAAACTAGAAACAAATAGGATAGACATAGCAGAAGAAGAAACTAATCTATCACCTACCAGAAAAGAAGTATTCGCTATAGATGAATTTGCTACTACAAAACGAGGAAAGGGAAGATCAAGAAAAAAATATAAGTTTTCTCCAACAGAACGAAAGAAACTTTTTCATAACAATAAATTTAAACTGCATCAAGTAAAACCTGTTTCCAAGTACAGAGGCAAATGTTTTATGAAATTTAGTCAGGAGAGAAGACTAGTAATTAACGAAAAATATTGGCGAAAAAATTTTAAACAACAAAAACAATTTTTACTAGATTATACAGAGACTCTATCAGTATTGAAAAGACGTGCAAATACGGTGGAAACGGATTTAAAAAAAAATATTCACCGAAATTTTTATTTAAAAGACGATTTGGGTGAAAAACAAAAAGTTTGCAAGAATTTTTTTCTAGGCACTCTAGGATATGCGTGCCATAATGATAGAATTCTTAGAAATTTATCAAGCCCTCCAAAAGATAATCGAGGAACTTGGAAAAGAAAAAATTCAATTGATAAGAATATTATTGTGCAGCATATAAAGTCCTTTTCTCCTAGTGTATCTCATTATCGAAGAGAACACGCACCTAATAAGTTATAACTACCCAATGAGATAACTATAACTAATATGTATAAAGACTTTTTAGAAAAATTTCCAGATATACAAATTTCGTACGAATTTTATAGATCTGTAGTAACTAACGATATGAAAATATCATTTACCAAATTAGATCATGAGCAATGCGAAAAATGTGAGGCTTTTGATCTCCATGACAAGACCCATACCAAGGATAACATAATCAATACATGTGATGGATGTATTTCTTGGAAAGAGCATAATAAGTTTGTACGAGAATCTCGAGATGAGTTCAAAAAAGATTGTACGAAGCAGCTAACTGATGAAACTACAGTCTACTGCTCTGTTAATTTACAGAAATTTATCATGCTGCCCCGGTTAAACATGTTTAAACAGGTTACTTTTACTCCAAGACTCATTATTTTCAATCAGTCCTTTGTGCCACTTGGGAAGTTAACAAGCAAAAATAAACCACTTGCTGTACTTTGGCACGAAGCTACTTCTGGTAGAAAAAAGGAGGACATAGTTAGTACCTATGACACATTTCTTGAAAGCTCACGTGACTGCAAAAACGTTGTTCTCTGGGCTGACAATTGTTCCAGCCAAAATAAAAACTGGTCTCTATTAAGCTACTTAGTGTTCGCAATCAATTCAGAGAAAATTGCAGCTGACACCATTACAATAAAATATTTTGAGCCTGGTCACTCGTTTGTGTCAGCGGATTCTTTTCATTGCCTCGTGGAGCTGGAAATGAAGAAAACCCCAAAAATATACGACTTCCAAGATTTTGTCGAAGTTGTAGGCAACTGTTCAAATAGTCACACCATTGTGAAAGCAATGAGTTTTAAAAACTTCAAAAAATAGCCTACCTTAACCTCTGATTACCAAATTAAAAAATTAAACTCAGTAAAACCTCTGCTCAAAAACATGGTAGAAATAACGGAGAAAAGGGGAGAGACACATTTATATTATAAAGACAAATTTAATGGTGACAGCAAAATTCTTTTCTTTATACCAAAAACCAAATTATCCATGCTGGCTGAAGCTCAAGAAAACTCTAAAGATCAAGGTATTACCAATAAGAGAAAACAAACAATATTAACAAATCTTGGTGACATCACTCCTTTGAAAAAAAAAAGTTTTGGAAGGACTTGGCAGTAAAAAATAATTCGCGTAATCTCATAGAGCATATTGAGGATAAAGGTTAAACATTTTAGTTTGAAATTTTAGTACATTTTTTTATTATTTATTTTTATTTCTTATTGAAATATAAGAGAATTTTATTTGTTTTAAAACTCTACAATATTTTTCTGTGTTTACATTTATTATTTGAACTTCAATAAAACTTTTTTCGACTACTTTAAATAGTTATTATTTGTTTAACTAGGCAGATAAGTAACAGATTTACTGCTGAGGCGAAGCCGAGGTAATGAAACTAGCCATGTCAGTAATTATGTTTCTCAGCTGTGTAAAACATGTAATTTTTTCTCCGATTGTTTATAAAGTATGTTAAAAAAAAAATGGAATTAAAATGGAAACCTGATTTAAGTAGGTATAACGGTTATAACTCACACATTTTTAATATTTATTCTAATAGTATTTTATGATTTTTTATTAATATATTAGTCTCCGATTGACATTAAATGTCTATTTCAGTAACATTTCTTGATCATAGAAGTAGCACTTTTACTGCCTTAGCAATAAAAATGATTTTTAATGCTTGGGCAGTAAAAGTGTTACTTCGATGATTAAGAAATGTCACTAAAAGTGACATTTAATGACAATCGGAGAAAAAATATTTTAATTGTCCTTATTTTTTTTTCTTTAATAGGTTTGAGGACGATCCCAATATAAACTCAGTCATTGAAATCTACCTAATTTATTCCAAATCTCAAAATTCTACTAAATTTTTAGATTTTTTGAACTATGTTTGTTACTGTTAGTCTAAACTCTGCACTTGTTATGCCTATCAGATAGGTGAAATCCTTACATGCGACTTTTTTCGCTAGTATTGTTTAAATTACTTAAGGCAAATTACCATATGTGACTGAAATGCGGCTTCTTTACTAGTGCTATTTAAATTTCATTAGTCAAAATGCCGTATGTCACAGTTTTCTTACTCAAATGATATAAAATCTATTATATTTTTATAAGTTGTCGAAAACCTTTGTTATTAGACCAAAATATAAATTTCCCTTTTATTATTAGTTAAGGAATCATGAATATATCTCTACTTATCTAAAAACTATAAGCAAAATAAAAACACTCAAAATGTAGGATATATATGAACGCTTTTTATTCAAAACAAGAACTTTTTTACATGCGGCTTTTTTCTGAATTAGGGCAGATATATACCTTATAATAACTTAAACAAATTATAATGGAACATGTACATATTAATGAGAATCGACCGGTCTTCGACTGCTGTTCGCCCCACTACATTATTTCAAATAAAAATTTATAAGTGACGAGCAACAGCAATCTGTTATATGTTTATGTTCCTATTACATTTTTTCTATTCATGGTCAGGTATATATCCCATGTTAAAAATTTCGTATGAAGATATTAAAGCCAAAACGTACGCAATCAACATTGTAAGAATTTTTGTTTTCTTATAAATATCCCTAGTAAAGCATTTACGATTATTACAATCTAATAATTAAGATCAATTAGCAATTTTATTCTAATCTAATTTATCTAGGGATGAAAAACTTTATATTCTAAGAGTCGAAATAGGTACTTAAACTACCGTTAACGTATAATACTAAACCGCACTATAGTTTACTATTATTTACCATTATAGGACTAACTTAAAAAGACGGTTCTCTTAAGTCTTCTTTTTAGATTGGCATTGTTGAGGGGCTGGATAACTTCAAGGTTCGCATGTTGCAGCAGTCGTTGCTGGTGACTGCTGGCAAAAACAGTCTTCACTTTAAGGTCCTAAAGCTGAATACTATACGTACATACTGCCTGTAAAGAAGCAGTTTGTTATATGAGGATAAGTTGGAAATTTTTCTTATCAACCAATACATTCTT